AGTCCCAAGAGCAAGGAAAGGGAACTGGAGAAAGTCAGGGCTCCCAGCGCTGGCAAGATCTGACCCTGAGAGAGAAGCTGCAGCAGCCACTGCAGCTGGTGGTTGCCATTTGGCTGCTGCTCTTGCTCCCGGCAGGCCTGGCATCAAATCCAAGGAAGCTCTGTGGCGGCTGGGTTTTGGGCTCCTTGCCCTTTGAATACCTGGCTTTCTTCAGTGTCGGCACCCTGCCCAGGGCATGGAGGTATGGCCGCTATGCGAAGCCGCCAGCCTCCGCCAAGGCAGGGACGAGGCGCAGCGATTTCGTCCTCTTCCTGCTCTGCGTGTTCGTTGCCCACAGCACTGCTGCTTTCCGATTTGTTTCGCACCGGAGTCAGCCGTGGCAGCCATGGCATGAGGTTCTGCAGGGCCTCCGGCTCTCTGCCATTGTCCTCACAGCTCTGGCAGCCTGGCACCTGGGCCGCAACTACGACCGCGTGGCCGCATCCTCTGAGTTGGTTACCACGGGTCCTTACAAGTTGGTGAGGCATCCCATCTACTTGTCCTATCTCATGCTGTTTACAGGCACCTTGCTGCATCTGCATTCCTTCTTGGGATCCGTGGTGTTGCTCGTGACCGCCGTGGCCTTCTACTCGCGGCGGATCCCCGCAGAAGAGGAGGTTCTCCATGAGACTTTTGGTGAGGAGTGGGAGGCTTTCTGCGCATCCACACGATTTCGGCTCGTCCCTCTGGTCTACTAGTATGGCAGCTTGAGCAGTGTCTGTCCACAGTGCTGTGGATTCCTGGAGCCGCCCGTGTTACGAACCAGCCCGCGGGGGCATGCAGAGGGCGCAAAAGTAGGGTTACAGGCCTTGCAGGACCTTTGCAGGACTGCACTCAAACCTAAGCCCCGCATCCCCTACAAACTCCGGCTTGGGGTGTCTGAGTTCCTTTTCCGGGTCAGGAATGACGAATTCATGTGGAGGCTAGATGACGGCCTTGTTTAGGGTTCAGGGTTTAAGCTAAGGGACGCCGGTCCCCGCCAAGAGCCCCAACACCCTTTTCGAGGTATCTCCGAAGATTAGGAGATCCCCTTATGTACCCCGACAGCATTCCAATCCTGAATGCTTATAGAGCCCCCAAAAGAGCACGCCGTCTTGGAAACCCTCGTCATATCGCGGCCAGCAGGATTTCAGGGCAACCGTGAATGTATGGGTACATACATATGTAACATATGTATACATATATACATATATGTAGATTATAGATATGTATATAGATATAGTGCATCTTGTTGTGTTTAACATGCCACAATAACTACACACACAAAAATAAAAATAGATGTACCATTCTTGCCAAATGGGAGTCTTGAAGAGTACCCTCGAGTAAGTCTGATGTACCCACAACAGACCCTTAAACCCTGTTGGTTGGGAGATTCCCCCGCATACTATAGTATATGGGGAACATCCCAACCTGTAGGCCCTAGAGACCCTGAGGCCAAGACCCTAAACCCCAAGCCCTAAATCCTAAACCCTAAACCCAAAACTTGGGCTGGATGCTTTGAACAGCTTCAGGACCAGGAGAGGCCTTCATCCCTGCGCCCTGAACCCCATCAACCTTGTTGTCGAATTCCCTGACCTGCGTTTAGGGTTTACAGGGTTTAGGGTTTAGGTTTAGAGGTTCGAAAAGAAAGTCAGTCTTTTCATTCCTGGGTTGTCGGGGGTCACCCGATTCAGTTCATCGGATTGGGCTCAGGACTGGGAATGGTTGGAGACTGTAGGCGTAGCTTTCTTAAGATCGAGAGGTTTAGGGTTGAGGGTTTACGGTTCAGGGTTGGGGTTTAGGGTGTAGAGGCTTTGGGCGTGTGTTGTTGACTTCGCTGCTTTCGCCTACATGCAGTTCTGGTCGCCAACACTCGGCTTGGCTTGGCAGCAGCCAAAGGGAGTATAAAGCCTGTATGGTTTAGGGATGATGGTGTAAGGTGACTTTAGCAGTAAGCAGTTCTTGGACAAGTAGCCCGTGGTCAGCAACAGGTGTTACATGCACATGCATATGTACTTCCACCTGTATTTAGGCATTTGCCTGCTTTGTCGTTCGGAGGTTTATGATCTGAAGCCTACATGCTTCACGCTCAGGAAGAAGGACTCTTTTGGGTTTCAGGGTTTGCCTTGGGATGTCCCCCGTATGCAAACAGTCCTTCATCAGCCCCCCCCTATCATAATCCCCCGCAAGGACTGTTAGTATGAAGGGGGAACATCACAAGGCCCACCACAACTCCTTAATAGGGATTATAGGACCCCCTATTATAATCCTTTTTAAGGACTCTTAGTATAAGGGGAAACATCACTAGGTCCACAACACAAGCGAAGATCGCCCTCCCTACGCAATGCTTGCCAATGCCTTGGCAGCTGTGGGCGGCATCTCCTTCCCTGCCGAGACTCGGAGTACATGAGGGGTTTAGGGTTTAGGGCTTAGGGCTTAGGGCTTAGAGTTTAGGGTTTTGGGTTTAGGGTTTTGGGTTTAGTAATCAGTTCAGTTCCATTCTTGGAGAATGCCCAAGCCCAGCCTACTTCGGGCTTAGGGTAATTTAGGGGCTCAAAGGTTTAAGCAGGGTTCCTAGACCCAAAACCTCTTAGGAACATGGGGAAGGGGGCTCCCGGGAGGCCCTGGGCACCCGACATTTGAGTTGTAGGGGCTCTGCTCACTCTGGCGGCATGCGTTCAACAGGTTTAGGGTTCCAGGGTTTTAGGGTTTCAGGGTGTTAGGGTTTCAGGGTTGAGCTTCAGGCGTCAGGCACGAAGAAGCTCACAACAATCTCATCCCTATGTCTTGAAGGAAGGAACGTGCTTACTTACGAAAACCTGACAAGAGCCCTTTACTCACGCAGTGTTTCGCCAAGTTCCACGCCAACAGTTCAGGGAGGTTAAGGGGGCTTTGTGGGGTGTTGGGTTGCTTCGGGTCTTGGCTGATGGGAGATGTGAAGGGTACATACCAGCTGTGCTCAGGAGGGTCTCTGCGCTCCCAAGCACTCAACCCGCAGCCCTCAGCCCTAAGTCCCTAAGCCCTAAGCCCCAACTAACTTGAAAACCCTACTCAACCCAAGCCCGTTTTAGGTTCACAAGGCTCGTGTTCGAAGTTTAAGCAGCCACAGGCCCGAACCCTGAGGTGTTTAATTTTGAGCGGCTCTGCTCATGGGAAGTTCTCTAAATCAGGGTTCCCTTACAATAAGGACCCCCCCCCCCCCCCCCATAAGGTACCCCTAATTTGGGAAACCCTAATCCCTAAACCCTAAACCCCCCATATTGAGTGTCTTATGCCCAATCCCGAGACCCCTGAAATTTAAGGTTTAGGAACCCTGAGCTCCAAAGCCCGAAACTGAGGCTGCAAGCGTTCTCTTACAAAGTCGGTTTAGGGTTTAGGGTTTAGGATTTAGGGGTAGATTTCTGAGTTTCAGGGTTGAGGGCAGCACGGTAGCCTCAAGCACCGAAAACCGGGGGCCAGGCCATTTTTTGTACCCAGCCCTTTTAACCTTTAAACCCTACATCTTGGGATGTTCCCCCTTATACTAACAGTCCTTTACAGGAATCAGAATAGGGGGTACTAGAATGCCTAAGGCCCTAAGGACTGTTAGTACAAGGGGGGACATCCCAACCTACACCCTGCTTCTAGCTCTCTACGATCCTTCACTCGAAAGCTATTGGTATATAGGCGATGACCCTCGCAACCCAAAGCTCCGATTGGGATCTGGGTAGGAAAACCCCGGCATGTGAGAGTCCATTCCTTCAGGATCTTCAATCTTCGGCTCATCAAACCCTGAGCCCGAAGGTTTAGGGTTTAGGATTTAGGGTGTTTAGGGTTTAGGGTTTAGGGGGGGTTAGGGTTCGCGCATGGCTGGTGCGATTGGCGTGTCGCCGCTGCTGCGTCCAGCGCGAACCCTGGTACCGTCGTTGAAGATCTATGTCTATGAGCCACTGACTACAGAGAGAAGGGGTTTCGTTGGCCTTGTCAACCCTAAACCCTAAACCCTAAACCCTAAACCCTAAACCCTAAACCCATTGGTGCTTCTGGGCTGCGTTTTTCAACCTGGGCTCAAAGACTCAACGAGCCAAAGGAGGGACCCTTATGAGGTTTTGCAAGCGCGTGCGTCGGATGTCGACGAAAAGGAACCCCAGTAGTACCCTTGTCCCCTTCTAAGGTAGTTAGACTCTCTTTCTCTTGTTTAACACAAAACAGCACACCCCCTTGCGGTATTCCTCTAGCCTATTGAGGTTAATTTCTGGGCAAGAGGGTGAATCCAGGAGATCAAGGCTCCGAGCATCATCACTGACAACTTTGGTGCCGAGAGAGAGCTCTCCTGGCTGAAAAAGAGGCACCTCTACTTCGAAACAGCGCTGGCGAAGCTCATGAGAAAGAGTCGTCAACGCGTACGGAATCCTGTTCATGCGGATTTCTTCTACGTGCCCATTGAGGGCGTGAACTGCGTTATGCCTGACCCGCTGAACCCTGACGATGACCCGATGCAACTAGAGGCGTGCGAGGCTGCGGCCAAAGAAGTCGTTGCAAGCATGCGTGCGGTTGGGCCATATTGGGATGCATTAAGAGACAAGCATCTTCTGCCATCCGAGTTCTGCTGGCACAAGGGAATGCTTCCAGATTTGTGGGACGCCGGCGCGGTGGAGTTGTGCCTATACGCGAATGCTGCAACCTTGAACCGAAGTGTCTTCATCAATGTGCCTTGGTTCACACCGGACACGGAGTTTGACCCAACATTCTATCCTCCAAGCGAGCGGGAACTTTTAGCAAACTTCATTGGGTCAGCATCGGTCAATTAACCCGGCGAGGACAACACCACCCACGATCAGTACCTAGGACCCAGAGTAAGCCCTTATTCCTTTTGTTTAGGCCTGAGTTCCCTTTAAAGGCATCTTTAAAACCAAAACGGGCGCCCTTTCTATTCCTAGGTTACTCTTGGGTCTAGGTACCTGCGCGCGGCGAACCTCATCCGCCGGAGGACCATCAAGGATATGCACCTCCATTGCGGATGGGAGTGTCACGTCGCGCTCCTGCATCGGTCGATGCTCTCAAAGGAGGCCGAAATCGAAGAGTACGTGAGGCTTGCGCGGCAGCTGATGGGCTTTTCCCGCACCTGGGTGTTCCTGACCATCTTTTTTTTGGCGTGTGTGTATGTGTGTGTGTGTGTTTGGGGATACAAAGTTGCAAAGATGCTCAACAACGATTCCGAACATAAATGAGAATGAGGGAATTCGGTACATATCATCCCCTAAAAGATAGGCATATTATGCACATACATATATGTATATGTGTCGGGATATAGGGTGCCAACTTCCCTACAAAATAGGAGCCCATTGGCAGAACCCTTCAAGGGACTAACGGAGGGACCCTTTATGACTACTTAGGTATACAGGGACTATGTAGGGTATATATATATTTTTTTTTTAATAGGGGTTCTATTGGAAAAGAAGATTAAGGGTCCCTTCTAGGGGTCCCTCCTTGTACCCCTTAAACCCTCCTTGAGAAAGCTCAACTAGGCTTAATTATCCCTAAATAGCTAATCATGGGGGGTAGGGGGGTAGTATAGAGGGGGGTAGGAGGGGAACCCCTGAAAAAAACTCTAAACCTTAGATCAAGTTACTCCATGCGAACACTTTCCCGATGAAGGCATCTACGTAGGCTTGTTCTACATGGGGGTTTGTGGGAACCCTAAACCCTAAACCCTGAACCCTGAACCCTGAACCCATGATGATCAGAGGCTTCAACGTCCTCCCCCCGGGAGATGGCCTGGCACGAAGCACGCGGGAGCAGAGCATCGCCACCGGCAGCATCCCAGTGATCCTGGACTTCCCAAAAGGCATCGAGGTTATGCTTCAGATTTTCCTTTTTTGGGGGCTTCTAACCCTAAACCCTAAACTCTAAACCCAAACCCCAAGCCCCAAACCCCAAACCCCAAACCCCAAACCCCAAACCCTAAACCCTAAACCCTAAACCCTAAACCCTAAACCCTAAACCCTAAACCCTACCCAGGCATGCCCTGGGCTCAAGAGTTTCCTTTCAGCGAGGCCTCTCGGAGTTAATGAGCTGAGCACCCTAGGTTCTTGGGAATCGCTGAGCCCCAAACTCTAAGACTCTAAGCAATAATATGTACATATTTATATTTATATTACACTTTTAAATTATGTATAGATGCATATGTAAATGTATATGAAAAATGTATGTATGTATATATATATATATATAGTATATGTCATCATGTATGAAAGGGTATTATATGTAGTATCATGCAAAATGTCATAGATGTGTGGCATCACAGGTTCTGAACTGGTCCAACTTCAGCTTAAACTTCAGGCTGAACCCGGTGGAGGTTGCTGGCCGGAGGAGCTTCTGGCCACGTTTGGAGAGGCTTCTCAGGCACATGGTGGCCACCGGGCGGGCCGATGATATGAGTGGGGGTGTGATGGCCATTCAGAAGCGCTTCATGTATTCGGAGACAGGGGTGCTGAGGAACATTTTCGAGGTCCTGGCCCTTAGGGTACTGCGCGAGTGCGTGGCCCAAGGATGCCAAGGCGACTCCACGCGAATTAAGGCATCAGCCTGCGCGGCCTGCCTCAGGGGACTCAGACAGCGCAAGATAGCAGGCCAAAAGTTTGAGTTCTCTTGGCCTCCCCTTGAAATCTCGTGTGGGACGGGTTTAGCACAGTGCGTTTAAGCCGCTCGGGGGAAATCCTACATTAAGGTCCCGCTCCAGCTGGTATAGGGAGCCCCCGACACCCCCCCCTCCCAACCTCGAGCCCTACATAAGCCCTAAGCAACCCCAGAGCCCGACATAAACCCGTTAACAAAACGAGACCGAAGCCCTAAGCCCTAAGCCCTAAACCCTAAACCCTAAACCCTGAACCCTGTTGGTTAATGCCACAAAGGCCACTCGGCCTCTGACGGCACAGCGGCCCTCCTCTCTTGGTGTCTTAACAGGACATCAATGAAACCTGCCCACGATCAAGAGTTTAGGGTTGAGGGTGTAGGGTACACGGTTGTTTGGGTCAAAAAGGCGGTTTTGGGGAGGCTTGCGGAGTTGAACAGTTGGCTTCTAAAGAGCTCAGGGTTTTCGGATTTCTGGTTTGGTTGTTGGGGCTGTTTTGGCAGTTCAGGCGCATGGATTGCTAGGGGTACGGATGTAAAACGCCAAGCCGGCGGCCCTCTGGATGGTTTGTGCTTTTCCGTTGCTTCGGCATGTGGGGGTTGAAGAGAGTTGTATGGAGGAGTGGTTTTCAGAGGATTGAAGAGGCTGACATACTTGGAGGCCCTAAACCCTCAACCCTCACCCTCGCCTCATGTTTCCTAGGTAGGATAAGGAGGGGGACCCTTCAGAGGGAACCCTGCTTAACTCTCTTCGGGCTCTCTTAAGCAGGGACCTTATTGAGAGGGTCTATCCCCTACATCTATCCTCAGGTGGAGAGTTCACATCTCTGAGCATGGGGGGGGGGGGGGGGGGGGGGGGGGGGGGGGGGGGCGTGGGTCTTGCTGGAGTTGACTTGTAGGCCTCCCAGGAAGGGCATTAGACGCTTGTGCATATCGGGTTAAGAGTAACTTATTTGGGAAGATTCAGAGAGTTTTACGGGTCAACTTGGTTGCTTGAAAGATGATAGTTGTGCCTATGTCTGTGGTCATAAGCAGTTCCAACTGGTTATTCGACTCATCTTCAGTACTTACAACCCTGCATACGAGACCCTAAGCCACAAACCCAGTCGGCGGAGAAACCCTAAACCCTAAACCCTAAACCCTAAACCTTAAACCTTAAACCTAAATTTAACCCTAAACGATTGGTGTTTCGCCTCTGAAGGCTCTAGGGTTCAGGTCTTAGGGGTCTAGAGACCTTGGAGCGCAAAACGTGCCAAGTAGTCTACCTACTTTCTTGTAGGTTACCCTAAGATTCCCATGAGGGTTTTTCAGAGGAAAACCCTACAAAAAAGTAGGTTTTGAGGTTTTGGAGGTCGACCCGAAGCTGGGATGCCCTAATGGTACCCTGGTCTCGTTCTTGTTGGGTTTGAAGCCCGCAGAATGCAACCTAGCAAGTCCCGAACCCTAGTCCCTGCACCCTGTAACTTTCTGAGCCCTAAGAGCAATCCAAGATCCTAAGCCCTAAACCCTGGACCTCTGTAAGTTGCTCTGAACCCACTATGCCCCGATTCATATCGTTCCCTAAACCCTAAACCCTAAACCCTAAACCCTGAACCCCCATAAGGCCAGAAAACTTCAGCTCCTGGTCTGACCTTTGTATGGCCTCCTCCGCTGACGGGCTCAAGGTCTTCTATCACCCCAAACTCCTCGGACGTTCAGGGCATGGCGTTTGTGTGCATAGAGACTCAAGGCTTAGGGTTTTGGGTTCAGGACTTAGGGTGACAAGGTTTAGATACATGGTCCACGCCAGTGGCAAGCGCAGCTCGCAACCCTGCACCTGCAGGGTTTAGGGTTTTGGGGCTTTGAGTTTAGGGTTTAGGGTTTAGGGTTTAGGGTTTAGGGTGTAGGGTGTAGGGTTAAGGGAACAGCGCCAGCGCGTGAGAGCCAAGTTTGGGGTCCTCTCGGCTTCTCGCCCACCATGGCTACCGCGCGACGATCCTCGCGAGCACGTGGACTCGCAGCAGTTCTTCTTCTTTTCACTCCTCAAGATGTTTAATCTTGAAACACATGTATTATTTGATTTATGCATGTGTTTTTTGTTGTTTGTTTGTTTTGTTGTAGTATATCTATCTATCTATCCATCCATCCATCCATCCATCTATCTTTACACACATGGGTAGATGGCATCCTTTTTTCTACTACTTGGAACAGATAATAAGGGACCTGATGCCCACATTTATTCATTGGGGTAGGGTCGGTCGTTGGTTTTGTTTCCGACAACATGCTGTACCAAATTTGCAGGATTTGACCATCTAAATGTCGACAGAGCTTACTGCGCGGATGACACCCTCTTCACTACCACCTCGACCAAGAAGGCCAACAATCTGCCAAACCCTAAACCCTAAACCCTAAACCCTAAGCCCTAAGCCCTAAGCCCTAAACCCTAAACCCTAAACCGCAACAATTTCCAGAGCGGCAGAAGGCTGAACTAGGGTGAAAAGCAGCAACCTCCAACACAAGCGAAAGATGGATGCAACGCGTAAACCCAACCACAAAAATGCAGCAGCAAAGCTTCATTCCCTGGTGGAAGGTTTTCACCTGAAACCTTGAACCCTTTTAGGGTTTAGGGTTGAGGGTTCAATCCATATGATCCCACTCCCTCCGCTGGATCGGGGGTTTCTCAGTGAGGATTAGAAGAGGTCGCAGGCACAAAACGAGGCCTTGGATGCCAGCAGTGGAGCTAGGATAGTATGCTGTATAGCAGTGAAGTCCGGGAAAACTGCGATTTTTGTGAACAGCCCTAAACGCTAAATCCAGAATGTGGCAGCCAGAGCTTGAATGAAATCTCCTGCAAGCTTCTAGGCAGAACCTCGAAACAAAAGTAGGCATTAGGATTGAGGGTTCGGAGTTTGGGGGCAAGCTCCAAGCTTACATCCAGGACCCCTGCAACTTGAAAGCCCTATGTCCCTTAACCCAGGTTTAGGGCTCAGGGCTCGGGGGTTAAAGGGCTTAAAAGGGCGTAAGGCTTAATAATTACTAACAACATTCCCTTATGGTCCCTTTGTACTTATACTATAATAGCCCCCCAAAACCCTAATTCTAATTATTCAGGCTTCTATGTTCGGGCTTAAAGGACTTGAAGGGCTTAAAGGGTTTAAAAGGCTTGGAAAGCTTAGAGGGCTCAAAGGGCTCAAAGGGCCTAAACCCTAAACGCTAAACCCTAAACGCTAAACCCTAAACCCTAAACCCTAAACCCTAAACCCTAAACCCTAAACCCTAAAGGGCCCGAGGGTGATCCTAGGCTTCGAGTTCAGCCCAGGCACCACGGCGGTGTCTGAAGCTTTCCGCACCACGAGGTGGGGAGTTTGGGGGGCGCGTTTGTGGGTTCTTGATGAGCTCATGAGTTGAGGGTTTAGGGTTTAGTAGGGTTTAGGGTTTAGGGTTTAGGGTTTAGGGCGCAGGCCCTGAACCCTAAACCCTGAAAAAGGCTTCGAGAACGATTTCAATGCCAAGCCGCAGAGCAAAGTCTGGGAGCACAGCTCCCAGGGAGGGTTCAGGTCTCAGGAGGACAACGCTGGCATTGTGGGGCCTAAAGATCTTAAAGGGGTTTGTTTCAAGGGTTGAGGGCTTGTAAGGGTTTGAGGGGCTTTTAAGGGCTTTAGGGGTTTTTCAGAGTGATGAGGGTTTGAGGGCCTAGGGTTGAGGGTTTGGGATTTAGGGATCGTAGCACACGGTGCTACGCGTAAAAGGGTTTTTGGATTTTGGGGATGAGGTCTCGATCCCAGGGACTCTCGGGTTTGTGGGGGGCTTGGAGCTTCGATGTTCCTTGATGCCGAAGGGTTCAAGAACTCGTGGTTCTTTCGCACCTCGCAAAGTTCAGTCATCAAAGCCCCAGGCCTGTATGCGCCCAATGTCCTTATAGCCGAAACCGTAAGCAACCTCTAACCCTGAATTCAGCAGAAGGATACTTCCTAGGTGCAGCTTAAAATATACCCCCCAAGCATCAAGACTCTAAGGCCTAAACCCCAAACTTCTCTGCCCTAGTCCCCGGACACAGGCTCCTAAGCCCTAGAATCCCTTTGCAGTTATTTTATAAACCGCCCAAAGCTTCTCATTATGGACGCAGATATTACAACTCGGGCCTTTATCCTAACAGTCCTGAAAAGGGGCAATAGTACCCACGATTATATTCCCGACAAAGGACTTTCAGTACAAGGGGGAACATCCGTTTCTACAACCCTAAACCTGGGGCCCCTAAACCCTAAACCCTAAACCCTACACCCTACACCCTAAACCCTAAACCCTAAACCCTAAACCCTAAACCCTAAACCCTAAACCCTAAACCCTAAACCCTAAACCCTAAACCCTAAACCCTAAACCCTAAACCCTAACCACCATCTTCGGACTGCTTGGGCCGCAGGGCAGCGAGGAAGGTATCGACCTCTCATGCGCTGCGCGTCGGCAGCCAGTGTTCAGAGGTCATGGCTTTGGGCAGAGTTTGGAGACCATAGGGTTTAGGGTTTAGGGTTTTAGGGTTTAGGGTTCAATCCTGGGATTCTGTTGGAGGCGGCATGTAGGAACGCCCATCATCATACATGACTAGTTGCTGGAAGATAACCTTTATCACTCCCAGGTATCAATAATTGTTAGACATGTTTACTTATGGTCATGCTCATTGTTCGGTTCCCACTACGTAAGGTAAGATTGAAAATGCTTAGGATGCATATAGCGCACGTGTGCAGTGCAGCAACCTGGTGCGGCGTAATGTCACGCAATGTAAACGTACTGCATGGTGTAGTGCATGGATGGATGTCTAGACGTATGGAGGTGTGTAGATGTCTGTATGGGATATAGACGTATGTACGCTTATAGCCCGAGGCTCGAGACGCTTTGGCGCCCAGGCCTTGCGCATTAAGATCCCACGTTTTTTGGAGTCAGACAGGATGCCGCTTTGGAGCCTCCGCCCGAACCATACTAGACGATTTGTGAATCAGGTGCAATCATTGTAGCATCACACCTCAAGTTCAAAGGCATTGCACAGATCGTTTTGCACGCTGGTCTCTTTTTTTGTTGCCTCTGGTTGTGCTTCCTGCTTTGCCTGCCTCGTTCCTTTCTCGTCTGTTGCATGTTCATGCTCGAGACGCGCAGCCGTTTGGCACCGAGTTCCACTGAGTACAAGTGTTGACTTCCGTTCGCATCATGTTTCGTTGCGTAGCATTGTCACTGCTTGCTGCGAGCTGCGCGATGCTTGCCTTTGTTGGCCCACTGCCGGCTCGCCAAGGCACAGCCCCGAGCACGGCCCTTCGAGCCAACCATGGCCGTGAGGCAGAGGGCCCCCAGGCGGAGGAGTTGGAGCAAGCCTCGCCCATGCGCTTTGGCAGTGCTTTGCTTGCGGTGCTTGCTGCGGTCGCGCTCACTGTGCTTCCGGTTGAAGAGGCAAAGGCTGCCCGATCCGGGGGACGCATTGGCGGCTCAGCAAGCTCTGCACGGCGTGCGCCTCCCCGCGCACCTCCTCGAGCACCAGCGGCTGCCAGCAGCAGCAACACCACTGTCATCAACAGAACCACGGTCGTCGCTCCGCCGCCTGTGATGGCTGCGCCATCAATTGGCTTTGGAATGGCCCCGGTGGTGGTTGCACCTCCTCCAACAGTGGGTGACGTCATCGTCGGGAGTGTCGTGGGTGGTGCCATCAACAATGCCATGTATGGAAACCGCGGGCCCAGCACGGCCGACCGCATGCTGGAGAACCAGCAGCGTCAGGATGAGCGACAAATAGACAACCAGAAGAAAGAAATCGAGCAGCTCAAGGCTGAATTGAACTCCTTGAAGACTCAGAAGTGAGTGAACAAAAGACGACATCGAACAGTACCGGCCATGTCGGCTGTAGGTTTTCCAGTCCGGGAATCTGACGTCTGCGGACGCTTGTGGTTCCCTTGCATTCTTTTCAGATGCGGCAGTCGCTCGCCGCCGCTGCACATGGTGACCAGATTCTGTGATCGAGATTCACACACGTTCCTGCCCTAAGATGGCATTTTCAGGCGCACATACCAGTGGCGCATTCAGCCTGATAGCATGGAAAAGGCAGTGGCTTGGGCCGTCCTCCGCGTGAAACCTAAGGCCCGACTACATCCATAGAATCATGAAACCCTTTTCTCCTATGAGCCCCCAACAGTCCCCACCCCCCACCCCACCCACCCGACAAACATAGTAATGAATAAAAATGGCTGGGCACAGCCCAGGCTCGGACGCAAGGAAGCTATGCCGGTGCCATCCCCGAGCCGGCGGAGTCTCTGCCGAGAATTTCAAGGTTATTTTGTGTTTGTTTTGTATGAGCTTGTGTAGGGTTTACGGCTAGGGTTTTCGTTGAAGGGTTTGCTCAAGGTATTTCAGCGGGTTGGGTTCTTCCGGCTAGGATTTGTTTTGCTTACTTCGGGTCGTTTTTCTTGGATTTTCTATTGTAGGAAGTCTAAACAGCATCTGGGAGGGTTTAGGGTTTAGGGTTTAGGGTTTAGGGTTTAGGGTTTAGGGTGTCTGGTGGAGATCTGGTGGGAAATGTGCCCTGCAGGCTCCGCAGCCGTCGAATGCAAACATGGTTTTTTTGCCAGGCAGTGGCTGAGCACCTCAGGCACCTTAACAGACGCATATATGCATACATGCATGCATGCATACATACATATGTATTATATATATATATATAGTGTTAATTGCACATATTTGATCCTGCTCGGTTCTTACGGGGCTCGAATGCTGCAATGAAGAAAACTGATCTTTGTCACGCTGCCAATTTGCTTGATTGACTCATTTGTCTCGTAGTTGCATGGTTTTTATGCACAAGGCCTTGGCCATGTCAAGATGTGGAAGGAAGCAAGACCGGAGCTTAAGTTGCCAATTTCTCTTATATTTGTGAGAACCCTCTTGTTTTCACAACGCTCGCCACCCCACCCCGCCCCCTCCTCCCCCCCCCTCCCCCTAATCCACCGGCCTCGCTTGACAATGGTTGTGAGGAAAGGGGCGGCGCGGCATATGTCTCTGCACGTTTCCGTGCGTTTCTGTAGATGGGTTCGGTTCAGCCTATTGTGATGATCATCGCCATCCGACAGTTGCCGAGAAAGCTGCCTTGTTGGGCCGGCAGGAACTCTCTCCCACAGGTGCTAACCCTAAACCCTAAAGGGTTAGGGTTTAGGGTTTAGGGTGTAGGGTTTAGGGTTTAGGGTTTAGGGTTTAGGGTTTAGGGTGGCAGGTTAGGTCTCCAAACCGGGCTAGGGATCCCGAGTCAGCGTGCGCTCCCTGAACACAGGCTGTGTGCACATCCACTCTTTGGTGCTGGTCAGGTTCCCTCACTCCAAGCACAATATGGGCATCTGCCAAAGCAGGTTTAGGGTTTAGGGTTTTGGGTTTTGGGTTTTGGGTTTAGGCCCTCAGCAGCCGACTTGGAGCCGAAAACGCCCTACACGCGCACAAAAGCGTGTACCAAAGAAGCGCATCACTTCCAAACAAGCACTTCCAAAGCCAAACCCGAAGCCCTACATCCAATTTTTGTGAATTATTAAATGAATCAGTTAAATATCCTAACCCGAGACGCGAAACACTCCCAGGAGCAGCGCGTCTTCAAGTGCTTCCACCACCTCACTCGACCCTGCAGCCCCTGGGCCATGATGCAGCTCGGGGACTGAGGGTTAGGGATCAGGGGTTTCTTAGGGTTTAGGGTTTCGGGTTTCGGGTTCAGGGTTTTGTGTTTAAATAGGGTTTATAGGGTACGTGTAAGCCATGCTAAAACAAGAGGGAGCCTTCATGTTCCCCAAGCACCACCCCCTCCCACCAAACCACCTGCCCCCCATCACCCTCTGCGTCAGCATGAGCTCTCAACGTGAAGGAACTTTTCAATGCGGGTTGGGCTTGAGAAATTTCGCACTCAGAGTTTAGAGTTAATGTAGGGGTCGGAACAATTACGAATACTGATCCCTTATGGTTCCTTTGTAATTGGCGCGTGGGATTTTTCCGGTCCATGGAAAGATCCTGGCTGGGGTCGCTGGGGGGGGAGTGGGGTTGGCCACGTCAGGGGTCACTTGGGGGCGGGGGGGGGGGGGGCCAGGATGGGCAATTTGACCTTTGTCATCCACACAATCAACCCCTCTGAAGGGCCGTTTTAAGGGGTTATAGGGTATAATAGCCCATCCAGCTGGTGGGGGGGGGGGGGGGGGGGGGGAATGGTAGTGGAGGGGAATCAGGGCGCTGATTGTAGTACCACTTTGAGTCCATACACATGAGCACCCGATCATGGTTCCCGAAAAAGCACTTGTGCTGGGATCCAAGAACTCATGGAGTTTGGGGGGTTCAAGCGTTGATTTGAAAGCTTTTAACCCGCAGCACGTTGGGCTGTCAGTATATTAGCATCATCCATTCTATTCGTATTTCTCGTGTGGCTACAGTACAGTATGCTACAATCAGCCCCAGTGAATGGGGTCAAGAGCCCATCCTGGAATCAGCCTAGATCTCGGTGGCCGTGCGGCGCCACGTTCTCAGCACTGCCCGCGCGTACCTGGCCCAGAAGCGCGAGCAGCGGGCCCAGGACTGGCGGTAGACACATGTTTAAGGCTTCATGAACTTCTGTCCTGGACTCTGTATGTAGGCTCTCAGAGTGTTTGGGCTCAGGGCTACAATGATGATGTAGTTGTTGCTGATGATGTTGACATATGTTGACAATGGCAGCGGCATTTCAGTTTGTGAACTTCTGTTAACCCGAAGCCCCATACCTGTGCTTGAAGTTCCCATACTGTTCTTACCTGCGCTTCTTGTCAGTGTATGAAAGTGGAGATCAGAGGGATTCTAGGTCTGCTGGGCCTTGGAACCTCCCGGTTTTCATAAACTTTAAAACCCTGGGCTTAGGACTTGGGACTTAAGCTTTCGGCCTGAACGCTTGCGAGGAACAGACGAAGACCCTTGCAGTGCATTGCGCCTACTTGGCCTCGCGGAGGATGATGGGTTCAGGGCCTTTTAACCCTAGGGTTTAGGGTTTTTAGGGTTTAGGGTTTAGGGTTTAGGGTTTAGGGTTTAGGGTTTAGGGTTTAGGGGTAACCTGTCTGAAATGACATGAGATCCGATGAACGATTGCAAGGTGCAAAGTCGGCCTGCGTATAGTCGAAGCAGAAGCATAGCTCGCCACAGCCATGATTCTTCTACTGCGTCGTGGTTTGGGTTCAGGTTTTCATCACGCTAGTTGGTGATTTCCGGAATCTGTATAGACCTGCTCCCGAAAGACCTCGTGTGTCAAGCGTGAAAGGTTTCAGAGTTTAGGGTTCACATCTGAGCTAAGCTCAATGCGCAGGACGTCCAAAGCTGGCCGCTTCATCCGAAATCTGCGGGAGACTTCAGTGCAACCAAGGGTGGAGGGAAGGGGATCGAAGGTTTCAGATTTGTTGTGGGGTTTATAGTGTAGGGCTGAGGGCTTCGGATTCACGTTGCAGGATTGATTCGGTCGCCCTTCAGGGACAGCTGTCAATGCTGCTCCATCTCTCAAACGTGTGTTGCGCAAAGTTCTGGGCCCTAAATCCATCAAGCAGAGTACGATATCACAGCAAGGAAGCCGAACGCCCAGGTTCAGGGAAAGTACCAAACGGAGCTAACTTCAACTACACAGCCGACGGCTCCGAAGCGAGCCCCCTGACGAGGAAAACGCTGAGGAGCAAAAGCTGCGCCGACCTTTGCTTGCGCCCGCTATTCCAGGCTCTTTGGGTTCTTGTCCCACAATCGTAGTAGCCATGAGAAGGATATTGAGTTTTAATATTATGAATCTGAATGATGTTAAGAAGAACTGACATATACTTATGTAAGGCGCTGTTCCAGGCTCCTTGTGTTCTTGTCCCACAATCACAATAGCAACGAGAATATTTTTTTGAGTATGAATATGATCATACGAGTAAGAACTGATATAGCTACTCAAGTTGCTATTCCAACCAAAGCCTTCGGGAAGTGAATCATTTCTATTCCACCCTAAGCGAATCTCTGCACATGTTCAAAGCTACTGCAGGGCCGCTTGCTTAGAGTGCGGATCCAGAAGCCCCCCAAGCCCAAACCCCAGACCCGAACACCCTAAACTCTATGCCCCTGAGCCCCCGAACCCCAGCCTCCACCCCTGCCAGGCTCTGCGGAGGAGGAGCAGGAGCAGGAGGAGGACTGTGAGGTCAAACCCTCCAGCCCAGAGACGATGCTCGAGGAGGCCAGGCATGGGTTCGCCACCGTTGCGGAACTTGAGAGCAAGGTTTCAACGTCGCGGGCTGAGGAGTCTAGATTTAGGGCTATTGGCCGTAGGGGGGGGGGGGGGATTTGGGTGGGGGCCGGGGGGGCGGGGGAATTCTGGCGTTGTTCAAACAACCAACCAACCAACCAAACAAACTAGCAAGCAAACGAACGAGCAAGCATGCAAGCCAGCAGATTCGCGGCGATCTAGGCCCTAACCAAACCGCTACTGAGTCTCAACAAAAAACCCCGAACCTTATTCAGCCCCTGGGCTCCACCCTACACCTTAACCGCCCTAAACCCTAAACCCTAAACCCCGAACCCTAAAGCGCCCCTGAACCCCAAACCCTAAACCCTACACCCCAAACCCTCAAGCGCCCTGAACCCCAAACCCTAAACCCTAAAGCGCCCTGAACCCCAAATCCGAAGCCCTAAACCCCAACAGCCCTTGAAACCTAAACCCTCAACCCGTCCCGGAAGGCAAGGGAGCTGGCTGCACACTTGGACCGGTTGTCCTGCACACGCCGAGCCAACGAGGCGTTCCTCGTGTCATGTTTGTTTGGGGTTTGGGGTTTGGGGTTTAGGGTTTGGGGTTTAGGGATGTT